TGTTGAGAATTCGCCCACACACCCTAATACTAATTAGCTTTGCGGTATTTAAGCGCAATTCTCTTTGTGAACATATTCTTTGTACATAAGCAGGTTTGTCTATACATCTGTACATATGCACTCATTTCCATACATAAGCTTTTCTATGTACATACTTACATACATACTTATGCGCACAGTTTGTTAAACAGTTATGAATTTGTACTAAATTGGAATTACAGAAAATAAAGTCATTCTTTTTGAAACGTCATTGCGATCACGCGTTTTTATTAAGTTCTGCGTTAACATTTTGGTGCCTCCTGTGAGGACAGAAGATTGAAAGTAACTTTTATATTCTGATGGCAGAATTAAACTTACGTGCATCGGCAATAAATGCCATTAAACGTATATACGATCGAGTTCGTACAATACAGCCGGGCTCATTTGATGAATTTCAACTTGAGCAGGAATTAAAGTCTGCAACAACACATTTCTCCCGCTTCACGGCCAACCATGATCAGTTGGTGGGTAGTGCGAAGCCCAGCGAGTTAGACGCACACGCGACACTATGGGAAGAGGTAGAGGATGTGTACAACTCCACATGCACCATCCTGAATCGCGAACTCAGGGGTGTAAAACGAATTCCACCTGCTGGAACGCAACCACGAGAATTTGAGGTTAAGTTAGAGCCGCTCGCAATTCCCATATTTGACGGAACTATGCAAAACTGGCTAGCCTTTAAAGATGCGTTTGAAATGCTCGTACACAAGACGGATTACCCGGAGGCATATAAATTAGGAAAATTGCGACAAGCAGTAAGTGCGAGTGCGGTGCCTCTTGTTGGAAGCGTGTACTCTGGGGGATATGCAGAATTGTGGACGGCGCTAAAGGAGCGGTTTGACAATAGAAAACGGTTAGCTGAAACTCATGTGTCCCGTTTACTCAATATCAAGCCAACGTCGGAGGACACATCACAGGCAATATTGCTCATCGTTGACACCGTCCACGAATCTATGCGAGCGTTACGTGTTATGGGACTCCCGGTTGCCACATGGGATGCTGTGGTCGTGCCAATAGTTGCTGCGAAGCTTTCAATTGCAACTCAGCGTGAATGGAGTATGAGTTGTTCACCAACCGACATCCCAAGCCTAGATGAGTTACTAAAGTTTCTGGGACAGCGAGCTCACAGTCTCAGTACAGCAGTTGTCATGTGGAACAAAGGGGCCGATGTGTCGTCTCGTAGTCAACAACGTGCCAGCGGACCATCACGTGCAGTAAAGGCGCACGTCGCAGCTGCAGATGAGGGCAAATGTGTATACTGCCAGGGAGCACACCGAATAACAAAGTGTGCACGATTTCTGGCAATGAAATGCGAACAACGTATTGATGCAGTGAAGGCTGCAAAGCTTTGCTTCAACTGTCTTAAGCTGGGTCATTCAGCAAGGCAGTGCACCTCTGGAGATTGTCGCCACTGCAGTCGTAAGCACAACTCGCTACTTTGTCGCGCAAGTTCATCACCCAACACAGCATCAGAGGACACGGTTTCCTCAGTTCCTCAAGAGAGCTCGACTACAACAGTGCCCAAGAAGTCGGAACCCTGACTAGAAACTTCGTCAGTCACTTGTCTTGCCAATACAAGTCGTACAGTTTTATTGGCAACTGCGCGGGTACACGCCTACGGTGACCCAACAACCCGGTGTTTAGCTCGGGTGCTTTGTGACCCGGGCTCACAGGTCAGTTTTATCACACATAGACTAGCTAATTCGTTGTCTTTACGTAGGAGCAAATGCGATGTTCCTGTGGAGGGAATAGGTGCACATACTCACGCTCGTACACGGGGCTGCGTGTCGCTTACATTGAAATCACTTCATTCCAACTTTGAATTGACGCTCGCTGCGCTTGTCATCCAGTCAATTACTACGGCCATCCCAACAGTGCACATTGACATGACACAGTGGCAGCATTTAGCAAGCTTGGAGCTCGCCGATCCACAATTCGGGACTCCGGGCAATATCGATATTTTGATTGGTGCTGATGTATGGGGTCAAGTTGTTGGAGGTGACGTTAAATTAGGCGGTCTTCAAGAGCCACATGCGCAACGCACACGTTTCGGTTGGGTTGTCTTTGGTCCAGCATCAGCAGAGCAAACGTCAGCACTGCCCTCTCTTGCATTCAGCGCACAGCTGCGAGGCGAGGACATACAGTTGGAGGAGCTCGTACGCAATTTTTGGCAGCTAGAGGAAGTGCCTTCACAAGACGGTGGTGGAGACGATGAATGCGAACGACACTTTTCAGCAACTCACTCTCGCACTGCGGACGGTCGCTATGTTGTTCACATAGCATTTCGCCCTGGCGCCCCACCTCTTGGTGACTCATACGCACACGCTTTGAGGCAGTTCCACCTACTAGAACGGCGACTGGCTGCAAACAGTGTACTCAAGAGCAAGTATATTGCTTTTATGCGGGAGTACGAAAACCTGGGCCATATGGAGCGCGTTGGTCCACTGGACGACAAGGAACCGAGCTATTATATCCCACACCACGCGGTTACGGAAAAATTCCGCGTCGTATTCAATGCCTCTGCGCGGACAACAAACGGTATCTCATTGAACGACGTCCAGTTAGTAGGAGAAACAATCCAGGAACCGCTCATCAATATTATCTTTCGCTTCCGCCGCTTTCGCATCGCATTGTCGGCAGATATTGAGAAGATGTACCGACAAGTGCTAGTAACTCCTCAGCACAGGAACTTCCAACGCATCATTTGGAGGGAATCGACAAGTAATGACATCGCTGTGTACCGCTTAAAAACCGTCACTTATGGCATGGCGTGCAGTCCATATAATGCGGTTCGCGCACTGAATCAATGCGCATACGACAATTATAAGGTGATACCAGACAAGCAACAAGCAATTGCAGCTCGTGACGCAGTCTTGACATCCTTTTATGTCGACGATTTTCTGACTAGTTGTGACTCAGAACCCAAGGCAATAGAACTCGCTAGGAACGTGCATGCGGTTCTTTCTGCTGGACAGTTTAATCTACGACAATGGAACTCGAATAGTGGTGAGGTATTGACGCATTTGGTAGACAATGATCCTTCTTTTGCAGAGTTAGTCATTGAACCTTCCACTGCTGCCGTGCTTGGGTTGAGATGGGATCCCACAGCGGATGAAATTTTCTTTAAGGTGAACCCTACGCAGGGTTCCACCAATCTGACGAAACGAAGGGTTCTGAGTGAGGTCGCACGGCTTTTTGATCCAACAGGCATGTTAGCACCAGTTGTGGTTACCGGAAAGACTTTTATACAAAAGCTGTGGGCGGCTGGTTTAGCCTGGGATGCACCGCTACCAGACTCACTTCGCGAAATGTGGATTGCATTTTACGGTGACCTTGACGTCATCAACCGCATTCGTGTTCCACGATGGCTAGGGATGGCTGAAGGTGGGTCGACTACATTACTCGGATTTTGCGACACCAGTCCTCTAGCATACGCAGCGGTTATATATATACGAACTATGAATGGCGAAGGGCATCCAATTGTATCACTTGTGACAGCTCGTACTAAGGTGGCTCCACTCAAGGGGGCAACGATTCCTCGCTTAGAGCTTTGTGCAGCACATTTGCTCGCTGTGACGCTCAACAATGTACGTATTGCTTTACGGTTAACAGATAACCCTTATATTTTATGGTCAGATTCGCGGATTGTGTTGTGCTGGTTACACAAGCCACCTACTACTCTCAAGCCGTTCATTTCCAACCGCGTACGACAAATCCAAGAGCTAACATCGCCAGACTGTTGGCATTATGTTAGGTCGGCTCAAAATCCTGCCGACTGTGCCAGCAGAGGTATTCGAGCGTCCGAACTTGTGGAGCATAAATTGTGGTGGCGAGGTCCGAAATGGCTGACAGATGTCCAGGTGCCCACTTCAGTAGAAGTCGATCTAACTAATGAGGAGCTTAACATTGTGCAAGGTGAACATAGGGTTTCATCTCTAGTTACAACAAAAATGTATTCGCCAGTTGTCACCACTCGTCGTCGAGACGGACAGACAATTTCTTTGAATGATCGGTTCAGTTCCATTTTAAAGCTCCAACGCACAGTTGCAGTTATTCTTCGCTGGCTTCCCGGCCGCCAAAACTTGCGAAGCTCAATCGTTAGCCCTGCAGAAATGGATTTTGCCCTTAACAGGCTTATTCGTAACGAGCAGTTATATTCCTTCGCTGCAGATATCGCCCAACTTCAGAAGGGGTTGTGCGTACCCTCCACCAGCAAGCTGGTATCATTGAACCCCTACATAGACGAAAATGGAATTTTGCGGGTTAGAGGTCGCATCGGGCAAGCTGACCTGCCAGAAGATCGGCGCTTCCCGATGATCCTACCAAAACACGCCGGACTAGTAATCTTGATTATACGGCATGCACATCATACCACGCTACATGGAGGCCCGCAACTTGTTCTTCAAACACTTCGCACAAGGTATTGGATACTTAACGGTAGGCAAGCAGTTAGAAGCTATATACAAAAGTGCGTCACTTGTCGGCGACATCGAGGCGTGACCCTAACTCAGCAGATGGCATCGCTACCGAAACAACGAATAAACGCTGCAAGGCCATTTGCATCATCCGGCGTCGATTATTGCGGCCCATTCACAGTACGAGTTGGTGCAAAACGATCCCGCACCACAGTTAAGACATACTTGGCGATCTTCATTTGCATGGTAACGAAGGCTGTACATATTGAAGTCGTCGATGATCTCTCATCACAAGCGTTTCTGGACGCGTTTACAAGATTTGTCAGCAGACGGGGGCCATGCCGGGAACTTTTCAGTGATAACGGCACTGCGTTCATTGGTGCCAATCGCCTACTACAGGAAGATCTGGTTGCATGGCAAAACAGAGGCAACCAGCAGTCTTTAGCAAATATGGGCACACACTGGCACTTTATCGCGCCTAGCGCTCCCCATCAAGGTGGACTCTGGGAGGCTGCCGTAAATTCCGCCAAATATCATTTGGTACGCTTGGTTGGAGCACAAGCGGTATGGCATAGCCAGCTTCAAACATTGGCGGCACGGATTGAGGCGTGCTTGAATTCCCGACCGATTACACCGTTATATGACGATCCCAGCGATAAATTGGCACTGACCCCTGGGGACTTTCTTGTGGGTGCCCCATTGGTTACAGTTCCTGAAGCCGACGTCACTTCAGTATCGCCTAATCGTATTAAGCACTGGCTCTGGGTGCGCCAACTACACCAACAATTTTGGACACGGTGGAGTGAGGAATATTTATCCACACTACAAATACGCAACAAATGGCAGAAGCGGCCGGCCGATGCGAAAATAGGCGATATCGTCCTCGTAAGGCACGAAAATTTGCCTCCAACGCATTGGCGCTTAGGCCGAATTACGGCAGTACATCCGGGCAGTGATGGGTTAACCCGCAACGTCACTCTTCAGACAGCGAATGGAACGATTACCCGGGCAGTTCAGAAACTGTGCCGGCTCATCGACGACGATAATTTCGAGTCCAGTGCCTCGACCGGGCAGGATGTTGAGAATTCGCCCACACACCCTAATACTAATTAGCTTTGCGGTA